GAGCTTACAGATTCAGTCAGGAACCTTTAATGTCCCAACAGACACATGAATTTTAGCAGACTGAGCTTAGATGTGAAAAATCACACCAGTCATGTGTTAAACACATATATAGCCAGCCAGTCCACAAAAATCAAACCATAGCAAGTACCAGAAACAAATGCCCGATAAAGCAAACATACCTATTTCTTGTGGTCATGAACACCATCCTGATCACCACAGGTAAGATGTCAGACTCCCGTGTGTTCTGATGCGGTGTTAAATAGCGGGCAAAATGAGTCAACCCCAACTCCCGGACATCCATGGTCTCCTGGGCATCCTGCCCCGTTCCACCACGAATCAACTTTGTATATCTGCATGATATCCAATAGATATAGTGCCCCATCCTGTGCTGTAAATTTACATTACACCTTGATATACTGAAACCGATAACACAATGCTGATATACAACCCCCACACACCTGTTGTGTAAGGTAAACACATAATGAAATATTGACAAGGCTATTGTATAAAGTATGTCCCCGGGTGGCCTGGGCCAACCAAAATCCACCTCTACCAATTAAAATGACCTGACATCATACCATAGCTGGATTTTTATGGCCACAGCAGGCAATTTATTAAATACAAAGCCAAATAACATCCATGTAAACCATAAATATAAGCAAAGTATGTAACCTAATAATTGTGATCAAAGTCTTTAAAGGTCATCTTATACCAAACCAACTAATAATCTTCACAGGACCATCTGCCACAGAGAAAGGGCTGTCTTAATGCACACAGGGGCCTCAGGTGCATGGATAATCATACATTGCATTATACTTGCCAACTGTCCCGGATTTGCTGGGACAGTCACACTTTTTACTAAGCTGTCCTGGGATGGCTGATTGAAAGTACTAATAAATATATTTTAACTCTATCAACTATTTATACTTTAATTCTTGAGAGTAGGTGTGTAAATTGGGGAAGGCTGGTAGGGGCCCCCAGTGCATTACTTTGCCTAGGGGCCCATGATGCTGCTAAGATGGCTCTGCACAATGATACCATACCATACCTGAGAAGGCAAGCTAATCTCAGTTGAATCTTTAAGTGTTTCTACAGCCTAAACATTTTTTACTTCAATGCATTCCTTTTATTAGGGTAAAAATGTTTATGTAAAAGTATCACCCCCTTATACTGTACTTACCTGAGTCCTCACTTATTCCAGCACTGTGCCCATCTGTGGTTGCTTTCTCCTCTCACATCCCAGTTTTACAGGCTTTGCTGAGGCTGTAAGACTGGGATGGCTTTGGCTCCCACCACTGTCAGTCAAATCCCGTAACATGGGAGCCGAAACTGCGCTGTGTGTGTCTATGGACACAGGAGGCATGCCTTCAGATTGAGCCCATAGGTGTGCCCCCATAGCAATAGAAAAAAAAACCTGAGAGTTTACACTCTAACTCTGAATGCTTTCCTACAAAGATCCTGCCCCCCCCCCCCCCCCAAATCTGCTTCTTCCAATCCCTTCCTTCCTGTCATTATCCATCCTCCCCTTCCTCTGAAAATTTATAATTCACAGGGACCAAAAGGTACAGAGCCACACTGATTGCATGTAATCTGAACAGGTATTCAAAACATGCACTTGCCATGCAAGTTTTATCCAGTGCTCTTTATAAAAAGCCTTCCAAAAGTCCACATACCCTCCCAGCAACTGTAATACAGTTGTCACAGCCTGCAGTACCTCTGGCTACCTCTAGAAGGAGGCTTTACCCAGATCTAGCTGGCTGGCCACACATGAGCAGATACAAATCTTTTAAACCGAGTTTCTTGTCTTCCCCCAGCCCGGACACCACCCCCCATTGACTTCTCCGTCACATCCAACAACGCTACCATCAAACCCGCCCTGCAGGCCAGAGTACTTGGTGTCATTCTGGACTCCAACCTATCCTTTCAACCCCAAGTCCAATCTTTAACAAACTCGTGCAGACTCCACCTCCGCAACATGCAGACTCCACCTCCGCAACATGGCAGACTCCACCTCCAAACATCGCCAAAATCCGCACGTTCCTAACCCCAGAAACCACTAAACAGCTCATCCACTCCCTCATCGTATCACGACTCGACTACTGCAACTCCCTCCTCACTGGCCTGCCTCGCCGCTGGCTATCCCCGCTTCAGTCCATCCTGAATACGGCTGCCAGACTCATTCACCTTTCCAACCGCTCTGTAATCCGCCATTTCCGCCAATCCCTCCACTGGCCTCCACTCAGTGTCCTCCACCCCCTCTGCCAATCCCTCCACTGGCTTCTGATTGCGCAACGGATCAAATTCAAAATCCTAAACACTGACGTACAAAGCCTTCCACCATACTGCCCCGAACTACATCACTGACCTAATATCCAAGTACCGTCCCGCACTCACGCACACTCCACTCCTCACAAGACCTCCTTCTCTCTAGTTCCCTGGTCTCCTCCTCCCATGCCCGCCTCCAGGACTTCTCCAGGGTGTCACCCATCCTCTGGAACTCTCTCCCCCCCATCAGATTATCTCCTACTCTCCTCTCCTTTAGGCGCACCCCTGAAAACCCATCTCTTCAGGGAAGCCTACCCCACCCCCTGCTAACTTGCCGACCTCCTCCACTCTTTCTACCACTCCATCCCCCCCCACTATCTCCTCCTGTGCCACCATCCCCTCCCTCCTAGATTGTAAGCTCGAAAGAGCAGGGCCCTCGATCCCCTCATGTTTTGCATTGTATTGGTATTGTTCTGTCACATGTCCTGTCCCCCTTTGTAATGTACAGCGCTGAGCGAACTATTGGCGCTTTATAAATACTGTATAATAATAATAATATGCAATTTGGTCCACTTTAAGGGCTGGGGAGCAATCTAGCAACTAGCATACACTTTTGGCATTCCTCAAGCTACTATATATATATATATATATATAATATATATATATTATATATATATATATTGTAATTGAAATATATTTTGAAATATATTGAATACGGACAAAATTGTAGTATTTCAAATATATGTCAATATATTTGGGAAGAATAATTTTAAAATATATTTCAAATATATTTTTCTTCCATGTGGAAAGAGCTGTAGTTTTGAAGTTGCTTTGATCCAGTTTTTAAGCCATTACAATTTGGTCCTTGTCAAAGTTGCTCAAATCCTTACACTTGCCCATTTATTTCTACTTTCAACGCATCAACTTCAGGGGCAACATGTTAATTTGCTGCCTATTACAGTATATCCCACCTGCTTTCAGCTGCCGTTCGGTGGCTTTTGGCTGTTCGGTGAATATATAAAAATGAATTGGTAAATATAATCCATCTTTCTGTCCTTTTTTCCTAATGCAGCTGGAGCAACAATCAATACAACGGAGAATCCAGGAAATAGAAGTACATATTACATAGGTAATTGAAGGTTGTCGCGGTGTCACATAAACAATACAATTGTTTAGCTAACTGAGCACCAGCTTGTATTCATTACCTGGCTATTGTTCAATTCCCAACACCATGATAGTTTATTGACACTCGGTCATGCAATATTTCACGCAAATGAAAGTATAACATACAACTTTTTTTTTTTTGTTTTTTTTGTTTTGGACAGCATTGAGAGGGATTAGAACATCAGTAAGGTTTTTTTTTTTTAATTGCTGTCTGTGCCATGATAATGAGATTCACCCTCTCTATTTGTCCAGGTTACCATTATCACCAAAAATTTAAAATAAAATAAAATAAAAAAAATTGAGCTGCACTCAGAACAGGAACAGAGGGTCAATTTTCCAATGGGGAGACTAGTTCTGGTCCCCAAGGGATTCTCTCATTTTGCAGGGATTTCCTTTCACTTCCTGTTTTGGCCATGGGACAGGAAGTGAAGGGAGATCTCCTCAATAGGACACAGGTAGCACAAATAACCTGACAGGCATCAGTATCTATCACAGTAAAAAAAAAGTTTTGCCTCTAGTTCTGCTTTCATTTTATATCATTTTCTGAGACAGTGAATTTTTTTGGTGGTATTTCATAACCAGTGTTTTTTTTTTCTATTTTTACTATATAGGGAAAATATTAAAAAAAAACCTATATCCCCTTATTTTCTGTTATAAGACATCAAAGTAAAATGCCAGGAAAGTCCAACCCTCAAAATTTACCACATTTGACCATTTTATTTACAATGATACAATGACATGGTAGTAAGATGGTTAAAGTTTAGGTCAGTTAGTGCAAAAAAAAGTGAAAACATATGCATTATATGTCACCAATACACACACATTTACCATGTTTTATTGTTGTAAAAAATTTGAGCCTTGGTTCACAGAAAATCGCACCCCGTTCATGCGGACCACTGCAGGTGTGTATGTTAACAGCAATGCAAAATCGGTTCACAAAATGCGGTGTGACGTGCAGAATCGGATTGCTGGTGTGGACAAAAGAACGGTCCTGCATTTTTTTGGTGCGGATGCGGTGCGATTTGAGCCATATAACATGTACGACTCCAATCGCACCGCATACAAATCACATCTGATCTGCAGGGAATGCGATGCGGTTACTGTGCGAATCACATGCGATATACCGCACTGCATCAGTGTGAACCCGGGCAGAAGGTAATGAAATACTTGTTGATCTAATGCAAATAAAGTATTCTCCCAACTCCCTGTAGTGAGCTTTGCCTATGCTGCATCAAAAACCCAAACAGTGTGTCAAGGATAGGGATGCCAGGGGTCCAGGGATGAGGGAGGCTGGCTGACATATAAGTTATCACCATACATCACAAATCCTTTGAGATCAACCAACACACTGGCAGGAGGTCTCAAGATCCCTATATTTCCTAGGCCAGACAAGAGTAACAGCTGTACAACAGCATGCACTCTCTAATATCCCATTGTTACCACCAGATGTTAAGGACGCAAGCCCGAAGCGACTAGACAACTGAGAGGAGGACTAGATTTCGTGTAGGGGAAATGATGGCAGAACTTGCTTTGCATAGGTAAAACCGGACCCCGCATTCACTATATCTGGTCTCCCCGGACCCCGCATTCACTATATCCGCTCTCCCCGGACCCCCGCATTCACTATATCCGTTCTCCCGGACCCTGCATTCACTATATCCGCTCTCCCGGACCCTGCATTCACTATATCCGCTCTCCCCGGACCCTGCATTCACTATATCCACTCTCCCCGGACCCTGCATTCACTATATCTGCTCTCCCCGGACCCCGCATTCACTATATCTGCTCTCCCTGGACCCTGCATTCACTATATCCGTTCTCCCGGACCCTGCATTCACTATATCCGCTCTCCCCAGACCCCGCATTCACTATATCCGCTCTCCCCGGACCCGCATTCACTATATCCGCTCTCCCCGGACCCCGCATTCACTATATCCGCTCTCCCCGGACCCCGCATTCACTACATCCGCTCTCCCCGGACCCCGCATTCACTATATCCGCTCTCCCCGGACCCCGCATTCACTATATCCGCTCTCCCGGACCCCGCATTCACTATATCCGCTCTCCCCGGAACCCGCATTCACTATATCCGCTCTCCCGGACCCTGCATTCACTATATCCGTTCTCTCGGACCCCGCATTCACTATATCCGCTCTCCCTGGACCCCGCATTCACTATATCCGCTCTCCCGGACCCCGCATTCACTATATCCGCTCTCCCGGACCCTGCATTCACTATATCCGCTCTCCCAGACCCCGCATTCACTATATCTGCTCTCCCGGACCCTGCATTCACTATATCCGCTCTCCCGGACCCCGCATTCACTATATCCGGTCTCCCCAGACCCTTCATTCACTATATCCGCTCTCCCTGGACCCTGCATTCACTATATCCGCTCTCCCAGGACGCTGCATTCACTATATCCGCTCTCCCAGGACCCTGCATTCACTATATCCGATCTCCCCGGGTCCGCATTCACTATATTTGCTCTCCCCGGACCCCGCATTCACTATATCTGCTCTCCCCAGACCCTGCATTCACTATATCTGCTCTCCCCAGACCCTGCATCCACTATATCCGCTCTCCCTGGACCCTGCACTCACTATATACGCTCTCCCCGGACCCCGCATTCATTATATACGCTCTCCCTGGACCCCGCATTCACTATATCTGCTCTCCCCAGACCCCACATTCACTATATCCGCTCTCCCGGACCCTGCATTCACTATATCCGCTCTCCCCAGACCCTGCATTCACTATATCCGCTCTCCCCGGACCCCGCATTCACTATATCTGGTCTTCCTGGACCCTGCATTCACTATATCTGCTCTCCCCGGACCCTGCATTCACTGTATCTGCTCTCCCCGGACCCCGCATTCACTATATCCGGTCTCCCCGGACCCTTCATTCACTATATCCGCTCTCCTTGGACCCTGCATTCACTATATCCGCTCTCCCCGGACCCTGCATTCACTATATCCGCTCTCCCCGGACCCCGCATTCACTATATCCGCTCTCCCCGGACCCCGCATTCACTATATCCGTTCTCCCGGACCCTGCATTCACTATAACCGCTCTCCCCGGACCCTGCATTCACTATATCCGCTCTCCCGGACCCTGCATTCACTATATCCGCTCTCCCGGACCCTGCATTCACTATATCCGCTCTCCCCGGACCCCGCATTCACTATATCCACTCTCCCCGGACCCTGCATTCACTATATCTGCTCTCCCCGGACCCCGCATTCACTATATCTGCTCTCCCTGGACCCTGCATTCACTATATCCGCTTTCCCAGGACCCTGCATTCACTATATCCGCTCTCCCAGGACCCTGCATTCACTATTTCCGATCTCCCCGGACCCCGCATTCACTATATCTGCTCTCCCAGACCCTGCATTCACTATATCTGCTCTCCCCAGACCCCGCATTCACTATATCCGCTCTCCCTGGACCCTGCACTCACTATATACGCTCTCCCCGGACCCCGCATTCATTATATACGCTCTCCCTGGACCCCGCATTCACTATATCTGCTCTCCCCAGACCCCGCATTCACTATATCCGCTCTCCCCGGACCCTGCATTCACTATATCCGCTCTCCCCGGACCCCGCATTCACTATATCTGGTCTTCCTGGACCCTGCATTCACTATATCTGCTCTCCCCGGACCCTGCATTCACTGTATCTGCTCTCCCCCGGACCCCGCATTCATTATATACGCTCTCCCTGGACCCCGCATTCACTATATCTGCTCTCCCCGGACCCTGCATTCACTATATCCGCTCTCCCCGGACCCTGCATTCACTATATCCGCTCTCCCCGGACCCTGCATTCACTATATCCGCTCTCCCCCGGACCCTGCATTCACTATATCTGCTCTCCCCGGACCCTGCATTCACTATATATGGTCTTCCTGGACCCTGCATTCACTATATCTGCTCTCCCCGGAGCCTGCATTCACTGTATCTGCTCTCCTGGACACCGCATTCACTATATCCGGTCTCCCGGACCCTGCATTCACTATATCTGCTCTCCCCAGACCCCGCATTCACTATATCCGCTCTCCCCAGACCCCGCATTCACTATATCTGCTCTCCCCCGGACCCTGCATTCACTATATCTGCTCTCCCGGACCCTGCATTCACTATATCTGCTCTCCCTGGACCCTGCATTCACTATATCCGCTCCTCCCGGACCCTGCATTCACTATATCTGCTCTCCCCGGACCCCGCATTCCCTATATCCACTCCCCCCGGACCCCGCATTCACTATATCTGCTCTCCCCGGACCCCGCATTCCCTATATCCGCTCCCCCCGGACCCTGCATTCCCTATATCCACTCCCCCCGGACCCCGCATTCCCTATATCCACTCCCCCCGGACCCCGCATTCACTAGATAGGGTCTCTATAGAGGGATCAAGACCTCCTGAGTCCACTCAAGTGTGAATAGGTGTGTGTCACCACACCCACCTATTCACCACCACAGTGCTTCACTGCAGGTATTCTGGGAATTTAAAATTTCACACCTTGTATATATATTTTTGTTTTCTGAAGGTATAACTTATTACAAATAGTAAATATAAATTGCAGCGCTAAATGGAAAAACATCAAACTAAAAGTTTGCTCAAAAAAGTTTGTGCAGTATGTCAATTCATATGTGGTACCAACCGAGTACGAACACAGCTGTAGATAATCCATAAAAGCTAGTGAAAGGGGAATGACAGGAATGCGCACTCACCGACCACACATAGGGAATGCGCATTAAAACCCCACAAGAAATGGATAGTGGTAAAAACCAAACAGAATTTCTAATCCTTCTCCACTCCATCCAAAATTAAATAAAACATTTTTGGCTTGACATGCTTTTTGCCCCCATTCACACCTAGGCATTTTGAAACTCCAAGCTCAAATCCCTAAAATGTTCTACAGCCAAAATCTCATGCTTTTCAGTTGTCACTGTTCATATTTGAGCATTCAGTTGCCTGTAGCTCAACACCTGAAGCTCAAAAAGTGAATATTTTAAAGCAAAATGAGGCTTTTTTGGCCCCATTGACCTCAATGGAAGTGCACACACACAAAAAAAACACCCAAAAATGTGAGTTACATCTAAGCCCAGGTTCACACTGATGTAGTGCGGAGTTTGCAGCGTTTTCTGATGAAAACCGCATCAGAATCGCACCCCGTTCATGCGAACCCCTGCGGGTGTGTATGTTAAGTTAACAACAGCCCAAAATCTGTCCGCAAAATGTGCAGAATCGGATCGCATAGGTGTGAATACCCGTGCGATCTGATTCTAGTGCGGACCAAAAAAAGGGTCCTGCACCTTTTTGGTGCGGATACGGTGCAAATAGAGCCATACAAAATGTACGACTCTGATCACACCGCATACAAATCGCATTTGATTTGCACAGAAATGCGGTGCGGTTCCTGTGCGAATCACATGCGATATACCGCACAGCATATGTTGGAACCCGGGATAAGACTTGATAAGTCACAGAACAAAACATGCAGAAAAATGTATGTTACCATCATAGGGAAACTGTTGCTAACCCCTTTAGACTGACTCTGGAAGCCAAAGAATAAATATCACTGTGTTTTATAACAAAATGACAATAGAAAAAATAAATTACACAAACAATTGTATTTTCTTTGTCTTCAGAATCAACCCCATTGAGAGACAGAACAAATCACGTACTGCATAACCGTTCTCGGCGCTATGATCACTTGGGACACCAAAATGGACACCCAGCTAGACAAATGCAGGGAACTGCAAAAAAATCTCTAAAAATGGGGAGCCATATAATGCCAAGAGGAAAACCTCTGCCTGACATGTCACTAAAGCAACTGACCAAGTGCAATATTACCCATATGAAGGAGGAGCACCAGGGCAAACCATACAGATATGCCCTTCTTTTGTTCAAACATTTTGTGCCATTTGAGAAATGTAAGAAATGGGCAGCACAAAAGGTAAATTTTGAAGGCTATGGAGGTCACAGGGCTATTCCAGAAAACCTGCTGGTTGCTATAATGAACAACGTCAGAAATGAATTTGGAGAATTGAAACCAAAGGACAAAACAGAAATAAGAAATAAATTGAATTGCCTCCTGAAAACTCCCCCTAAGGCTGGATGGCCACGACAGTTTTGATCGTTTTTTAGATGTCAGAACACATTTTTACATTGTGTTAAGTTTTTACAATTACTGAATGCATTCCAGTTAGAAAATGTTTTATTTTTGGTTTCTAATAGTGATGGGCTGAACGAATGTGGCTTTGCTCTCACCTCTGCAAAACTAGAAATATGCATTAAAGGGAGAAGGATAGGTGCAGCGCTTTGAATCAGAGTGCAAAAAGAATGCTCTAAAGGTATATATGTATATATATATATATAAATATAGGTACAATAATAAACAGTGCGCTAATTAATAGAAGTGTTTAAAGCACACACACAGTCCACATCCCAAATCAATGGTTGTAGGAAGGGTGAAGAGAATCCTAGGAGCGAATAGAGTGCGCACTCACCAGAAGTGCGTATAAAATACGCATGTAGAGAGATATACTCTTCAGAATGTCTCTGGCATCCAGGCTCTGGTCAGATCGCACTCCACACCATCCTCTTTGGCACCGCGAAGAGCAGTAACCCGGATTCACCAAATGGTAAGGGCGTCAAAGATACTCCTTAGTCCAAAAAAGACACTGTGGGAGATGGTGCTCTCAGGGAGAGCCCATAAAATGTTGGCCACATATAGTGGCTAGATGTCCATGAGCTGTAGCCCCCTTTGAAAACGTGTATCGCAGCCCTGCGCCCTTTGAAAATGTGCATCGCACGAAACGCGTCAGGGGGGCTACAGCTCATGGACATCTAGCCACTATATGTGGCCAACATTTTATGGGCTCTCCCTGAGAGCACCATCTCCCACAGTGTCTTTTTTGGACTAAGGAGTATCTTTGACGCCCTTACCATTTGGTGAATCCGGGTTACTGCTCTTCGCGGTGCCAAAGAGGATGGTGTGGAGTGCGATCTGACCAGAGCCTGGATGCCAGAGACATTCTGAAGAGTATATCTCTCTACATGCGTATTTTATACGCACT